CTGCTTGCCTCGCAGTCGCCTGGGGGAGGAGGGATGACGCTTAGCAGGGTGGAGGAAAGATCTGAGCTCATGACGCAGGAACCTCCACCTTCCCAGCTGGGTAGTGATATAGTCTTGCCAGTCTCCTGGAAAGGCATCGGATCCCCCAAGACTGCTAAGCGGTCATAGTGGAACTGCTGGAGGTGATGGTGGCGATGATGGTGGTGATGTCGTTGATGATGCTGATCTTGATGATGATGATGCTGATGATGATGGTGGTGATGGTGGTGGTGATGGTGATGGTGATGGTGTTGATGGTGATGGTGATGGTGGTGGTGATGATGCTGATGATGATGGTGATGATGATGATGATGATGATGATGATGATGATGATGATGATGATGATGATGATCATGTGCCGTGCCCTGTGTTACCTTGCCCCGCTTGGAAACCGTGCGAGTACTGAGTCCTCGCTGCTCGGTTGGAACGCCCGCAAGCGGGCCGCCAGCTTAGCAGCGCTTCCTCGGTGCTCGCGCCTTTTCCCATCTCCCTTGTCTCTTGAGAACGGGTCGTGGTCGGCGACTCGGTCAGGATGGAACGCCCGCAAGCGGGCCGCCACCTTCACCGAAGAAGCGCCCGCTGCCTTAGTCCTCAAGTCTCGACTGCTGCCTTGTCGGACTCGGGACGTTTTGAAAGCTTTCTCCTGCTCCTGGGAGCCGTTGTGACCCAGGAGCTCTCGCCGTGTGTAGACAGCGTCACAATCATTCGAGATAGATTGCCCACCAACATAGAGCGCTCCCAGTAATGATGAGGATGATGGTGATGATGATGATGATGATGATGATGATGATGGTTGTTGCTGGTGCTGTTTGTTCTAGTGAAGTTTGATTCCCCATATCCTAAGATGGGGTTCTTGTTGTTACTTGGACGCCTCCTACTCCCTCTCCCTCCTCCTCTTTCCTCCTCCCCTCCTGTCGGAGTTACTCATACTCAGACTTGCTCATACCCAGACTTGCTCATACACAGACTTACTCATACTCAGATACTCTCATACTCAGATCTACTCATACTCAGACCTATTCTTATTCAGACATACTCATACTCAGACTTATTCATACTCATACATACTCATACTCAGGCATATTCATACTCAGACCTACTCATACTCAGACTTATTCATACCCAGACTTACTCATACTCAGACATTCTCATACCCAGACGTACTCATACTCAGACTTACTCACACTCAGACATATCCATACTCAGACTTACTCATACTCAGATTCTTTACGCTTCGCGTATCCCCACCAGCCCATCTCACACCAGCAACTCATGCGAAGCATGCCGGCAGTCGTGTTTTTCAGGCGTGTGTCCGTTTGGCCCCGCATATCTCCCCTGTCCCTCCTCCCTCCCGCCTCCTTGCACATCCTCCTTGTGGGGGGAGCGGGAGAAGGACGAGGCGGAGGAGGAGGGAGAGAACGCGCTCCTCGTGATTTGAGTCGTTTGGGGTTTCTCGTCCTGGTGTGAGTCGTTCGGGCCCTTCTTCCTGGTGTGAGTCGTTCGGGCTCTTCGTGGTGTGAGTCGTTCGGGCTCTTCGTCCTGGTGTGAGTCGTTCGGGCTTCTCGTGGTGTGAGTTGTTCGGGCCCCTCATCCTGGTGTGAGTCGTTCGGGCCCCTCCTCCTGGTGTGACTCGTTCGGGCTCCTCGTGGTGTGAGTCGTTCGGGGCCCGCGTCGTGGTGTGAGTCGTTCGGGCTCCTCGTGGTGTGAGTCGTTCGGGCGCCTCGTCCTGGTGTGAGTCGTTCGGGCCCCTCCTTGTGGTGTGAGTCGTTCGGGCTCTTCGTGGTGTGAGTCGTTCGGGCCCCTCGTCCTGGTGTGAGTCGTTCGGGCTCCTCGTGGGGCCTCTTGGGGGCCTCTTGGAGCCTCTTGGGGCCTCTTGGGGGCCTCTTGGGGGCCTCTTGGGGGCCTCTTGGGGGCCTCCTGGGGCCTCTGGGGGCCTCTTGGGTGCCTCTTGGGGGCCTCTTGGGGGCCTCTTGGGGCCTCTTGGGGGCCTCTTGGGGGCCTCTTGGGGGCCTCTTGGGAGGCTCCTGGGGGCCTCTGGGGGCCATCTTGGGGCCTCTTGCGACCTCCTCAGAAGCGCAAAGAAGTGCTGCCCCCTGAGAAGGACAAAATGAGCCCAAAACCTTCGTAAAATCAGTGATTTTGCTATGAAGGAAGATGAGCGCGGCCCCCGCGGGAGGCCAACATGGGGCCAACACCCTAGTAAAAGCAATGATTTTGGCTTCAGAGAAGAGGAGAGCATTTTTTCTCCCTCCCCTCGTCGGGGGCAGAATCCTCGTGAGGGTCGTCGTTTTTTGGCCCTCCCAGGAGTCGAAAAAGACCCCTCCAACGACCCGCGGCCCGCCCTCTCCAGACCCAGGGGGAGGGGGTAGGGGGAGGGGTAGACCCCTCCCCGAAGGGGAAGAAGGGGGGTTGAGGACAGAGGGGCTCTCTAAACCACTCACGCCCTAAAGGGCTGGTGGGG